GAAGCAATTTTAGATATATAAATTATTATTAAGGACGTTGTCTTTTAAGATATAAATATTAATATAATTGTATATAATATTATTAAATTCTATTAAACAAGTAAAATATGTATAATAGTAATCTAATTAATATTTATATAATATTTAACATATACATAATTAATTATAAAAAATATATTTAAAAATCATATTAAAATTTTCACACTCACTCCCAAACATATCAACATGGGATGGGAAGACACGATTTCTTCACTCTAATCAAATAAAGGCTCTCAAGCAAAAATGGGAAGGCGGGGTGTCACTGTGAGGAAACTTTTTTAAATTTGTTGAGTGATGTTCACGAGCCAAGCAATGCCACTAGGGGTATATTTGAAAATTTAATCATCATGACAAAATAATAATGACGCCAAAAATTATAATTGAAAATTGAAAGATGACCCTATAAGCTGGCATGAAAACAGAATTTCTTAGGCAAACACAATTATTTTTAAGAAAAGGAAGTGTTTCGGTTTCTTTTTCTCAAAACCATGGTTTGGGTAGGCATAATTGATTATTTGGGGTGTTTATCCAAATGAGGTATTAAATTACCTTATATTTTGAAACATTAAATATTCATCAAAAGTATTTTGTAGATTAGAATAGAGGAAGTAATCAACAGGAGTATATCTTAATAATCCTTTTTTTTTTTTTATGGCCTGTGAGATTTTAGATTATGCAAATTTTAATTTGGATAAAGGTACAAATTTGATCACAAATTATTTTTTTGAGGAATATTTAGTAGCCTAAACTATTAAATGGTGCCAAAAAAATCACGAACATTCAAAAATAGAGTATTCAGTAGCCTGTCGTTAACTTCAACTAACAGACATTGTGTAGGCCCTACAATGGCATGTGGTACGACACGAGCACGACACGTTAGCATGGTAAAGGTGTAAATTTAGCCACAAACTATTTTTTGAGGAGTGTTAGGTAACTTTTACTATAAAAAAGTGGATCATCAAATACCTTCCTCTCAATTTTTATTAAACACCATTTATTTTTATATTCATGAGACTTATAAAGCATTAACCTCTTCAATTTTCTTGCATTCGTTCTCAATCTCAGCTCAAGAAGAAGAGGTTTAAAGAGTTCTTATTTGAAGACATTCACAAAAACGATGTTAACAAAGCAGAAGAAATAATTCATGACTAAATTAAGTTAAAATCAAGTTTTTCTCATACGTAGTAAAATCAAGCTTATACTTCATTGTCATTGTCCTTGTGAATATCTTCACATAAGAACTCATTGAATCTCTTCTTTTGAAACTTATATTGAGAATGAAGGCAAAAAGATTGAAGAGATTAATACTTTATGAGCCTCATAGGTATGAAAATAAACAGTATTTAGTCAAAATTAAGGAGAAAGTGTTTGATGGTTCATTTTTTTATAATAGAGGCTACCCAATGTTCTTTAAAAAATAGTTTGTGATTAAATTTTTTTCTTTACCATGATAACGTGTCGTGCCACACGTCATTGTAGGCTCCATATAATGTTTGTTAACTAAAATTAACAGCGGGCTACTAATGCTCTATTTTTAAAAATTTATGATTTATTTTATACTATCTAATATTTTAGGTTATCAGATGCTTTTCAAAAAATAACTTGTGGCTGTTACTTTGCCCTTTAATTTTGAAAAAAAAACCAGACATTTAAATTTTAAAGACAAATAAAAAGTGCATTAAATGTTGACAATCTTGTTTTATTAAAAAAAAAACGTACGGGCAATGTTAGGTTGGGGTACCTAACTTGAATGAATGTGAATGAAATTATTTTTGGGAGAATATTGAGGCTGCCTCTCAATTCTAATTCCAGAATCCAGAGTCCTTGCTCCGATTTGGCATTGTGCCCCCACTTTTCCATCCATCCATCCATATATAACAAAAATAATAATAATAAATATATGTCTAATAACCTCAACCTCAGGCTCAGATTTTTAAAAAGCAAATGGAAATTCTTCAAACTTCTGTATTTTTGTGTCAACGCAGGCATTTTCATTTTGGCTTTTTAAAAGAGGCAAAAAGAACAAAGGAAAAGTGAAGAAAAGCAAGTAAGAGGCTCCCTTTGGAGATTTCATTTTCAATTTTTTTTTCTTATTATTATTATTATTTTTTTGATGTAGCAGGTGAGGATTACGGATAGGCACAAGCCACGGACCTGTGTGGGAATCGATGGACGGGCAACATTGATGCCAGGTTGGTGTGGAACACCACTCCTCACTCTTCACCTCACGTTCTCCATTATTATTGGGCCAATTTGGATATTCATTAAGAATCAAATTTTAAAATCAAAATTATGGTTTTGTACAAGTTTATTCAAACACCCTCATTTTATAAAATTTCATTTGGTTTGAGAAATTTTATTTTAGAGAAGTTAAAATTTCTTTCATTTACAAAACTCCATTTGGCTCCTTTTTTTTATATCATTTATTTGCACATTCAAAATTGATTCTCAAGAAATCATCCAAACATATTCAATTTATCAAAATTAATTTCTAAAAATTTATCCAAACATCATCACGTTCTAATAATCAATTTTTTCTAATTGAAATCCAAACACACCAATTATCATTGTTAAAAAAAATAGTTAATCTAAAAGAAAATTGACCCAATGAATGAGGATTTAATCCATAATTTATAAAATTATAAATTCAAAATTCACTATCACATGAGGGCTTCATTGATGAGTTATCAATAACACCTTTGGAAGCATTAATGTGAAGACACGTGCCTAACACTCCTAGATCTTTGTTCATAAAAAATATTTTCTTTATCTCAAATTATAAGAGATTTTTAGAAAATATTTAATATTTTAAAATATAAGATATTTTAATAAAAATTTGATTTTATTAATGATATTTTTTTTAATATTACCTTTTTCATATATTATCCCTCTTCAATATTCTTTCACTAATTGATTATTAAATGAAAGATATTTTTATCTTAAAAATGCAAGGTTATAAAATGTATTTAACTAACTTTATTTATATATGAGATTTTATTTAAAAATATTTTATAATTTAAAATGAAAAGAATATTAGCTAAGCTGAATTTTAAAACTCGTTAGGGTTAGAATGTGCACAAGAGTTTAAAGAAGACTTACATATTACTTATTAATAATATCTTTATATTGATAGTGAAGTTTGAATTATATTTCAGGAATTGTGATTCAAATCTTTATTAATTCAGCCCGCTTTAATTTCTCATTTATCCACATGCCATTGTCAGCGGGACGAAGGCTTTGTCCTCGATGTTTCCTTTATTACGAGTCTTATTTCTTTACCACTGGTGATTCTTAATCCTAACTTCAATATCTCTGAACTCAAATCTTCATCATCATGAGTATTATACCATACTTGAGAAACTCTAACGTCCTGTTTGATATAATGAATTTTTTTTTATGGAATCAAAATTGAAATAAAAATTATGTTTTAAAAGTGCCCTTGGAATAATAATAGAATGTTGATATAATTTTAATTAGTATTTACACTTAAAACAAAAAAAGACCAAAGTACCTTTTATATATACATATAGATTTTTTTTTTTACCTTGGGTTATATATTAGCTTGTTAGAGTTTATATACATAATTAGAAAGCAGAGTATTTTGAAAATTTGGATCAAATTTCACACCCACTTCTTTGACCGGTTCATTTGTAAATTAGACAATAATTTGCTTTACAGCAGATAAATTGACTCGTTAAAAAATTCGTCAATTCTGACTAAGAACTTTCATCAGACAAATTAAGTCCGTACTAACTGTAGTTAATTAAATTCACGCGCTGTCAAAATCATCCACAACACGACAAAATCCTTCCAAAAGTAAGTCATTATGGTCTAATGTGTAAATTGCAAACTAAACCAGCTCATAAATATACCTTTAATGTTTAAACCCAACACTTAATGCATGATTAAATAGCGCAATAAGCTCATAAAATTTTAAAGTAGGCGTATTACGCAATTCCCATTATTAATGTACGTTTCGGAGCTTCTTATTCTCACATATAATTAATAATCAATAGTCTGACCTCGTTATCCAAGGCTTTCGATTATCTAATGGCTTTGTCATCAACATTCAACACTACATATTTAATGGAGAAATAAGTGGGACCACATATATAAGCAGGATTCACGCTTAATTAATCTAGCAAGGGAGCTGTGTCCTTTGAATAAGAGATTTTGAGTTCGAGCCTAAAAATTGCAAGAGTTCTGTTGTAACTCAATTTGGATTAGCTTAAATTCCCTTTTAAGACAGATCTAAGGATGGCATGCAAGGGTGCTTGCATCCGTAATTTATATTTTATTTATATATAGTTTAACTTTTCTTTATAAAAAATGATGATGTTAATTTTAGCCCCTTATATCTTATATGACTTGAAATTTTGCCCCCGTATATGAGGCTTAGGGTCCATCCCTGGTTCTCGTTACATTCCTCCATCTCAACACGAGGCAGGTTGAAGATACTGGATGCTAATATTAGAGGGAGGTTGAACGAGAGAGCCAATGGGGTGGAGTTGAGTGTGGCAGAGTCCATCAAGAATCAACTGGCTTGGACTTCTTTTATTACCTTTTAGAGTGCTAACCAATTCAACCGTAAGATAATCATAGATTACTCGAAAAAATGAACCGAGTTTGACGCAGTGATTATTAGGGATTAAATAAAGATAAGTAAAGATTAGAGCTTTAAGTGACTTTCACGCCCTGATCTGATGATGATGACGAAAAAGCAAGCATGTATGGGACTGTGTGCAGCGACTAGCAGGGTGCATTGTAGAAGAAAAAGAGCTGCCTAGCGTGTGTCAAACACACCCTACCCTCCGAGCACGCTTTGGTCTTTTGCTTCCTCTGCTCTCCAACCTAACGCCTCTCTCTCTCTCTCTCTCTCTCTCTCTCTCAGAGGTTGCGTGCGTTGTGCTCTAACGCTAAGCCGCTAATCCCCCATTTCCTGTTTTGGGTTCTCTAGGCAACACGAATCTCTCTGTTTTTATCACTCTCTAGTCTCTCCTCCATCTCCTTTGAATTACCGGAAGAGAAAAAGGGAACCCACAACCAGAGCCCATTCAGACTGCCAAAAATATATAAAGTTCCTTCTTTTTTTAAGAGAAATAAAAAATAGAAAAGCGACAAATAGTTGCCATTATTGTTCCCTCCCTCTATATCTTTGCTTTTTCAAGGCTTTTATTCTTCTTGTTTCTCCTTTCCCTTGGTGGGGTTCCCTTGATCTGCTTTTCTGTTGTGTTTCCTTTGGCCCCTCCCAGTTCTTTGGTTTTATAGCTCTTAGTTCATCACAGCTGCTTCTGATCTCTCTTCTGGTTTACAGAACCTCTTCTTATCCTAGTTTCAGCTCCTTTTCCTATACTTAACCTCTTCCTTTTGACTGTTTCATGGATTTGAGCTGCGGCTAGGTCCTTAAGGTATGTGACTGTGAGGCAAACGAACTTTTGTCATTTTTATGTTAACCATTTGTTCTTCTTTTGGCCGTGTATGGTTTTTAACACACCCTTTTGCTATTTTTGCTTTCCTTAGTGGGATTCCTTGAATTTCTTGCACGTATCTGGCGATTGCAACGAACGTGAAGTTGATTTTCCATCTGGGTTTGTTGCTGTAGTGTTGAAAAACATGAATGGTAGTAGGTCAAGAAATGAGGAGATGTCTCCTCAGCTGCTGGATTTGATCCCAACGGACCGAGAGCGGCATGAAAACAGGGATGAGGAAAGAAGCCACCACAAGTCGTCAGAAGAGAGGAAACTTGAGCTTAGACTTGGTCCGCCTGGTGAAGAAGACTATGTCGCCAGAGGAAGAGGCGAGTCTCTGCTCTCTCTTGGTTACTCCTCAGCCTCCATTAATGGAGGCCAAACCCAGCAGAAGACTGCGTCTTCTCCTTGGGGTTCCACAGGCTACCATGAGAAGAAGACTCAGAACAATAATCAACACAAAGGGGTTTCATCATTCCTACAACCTCAACCCTCTTCTGCAAACACAGCTGTACCCAACAGCTCTCAGAAAAGGTACTCTAGCTTTATTCATATCTGTTGTATGTATTAATTTTTTTCTTTTGAAACTTTTAGACAGGACAGGATATTCACTTGCAGAGTCATGTTGCTTCGTATTTTGTGGTCCATGCAAAGCTCTGTTTTTATCTTCTTACCGTACATATTGATTCAACATTTCAGCGTTGTAATTCTGTTTCATTTCACCCCCAGCCTCGCCTTTTTGCACTATTCTGTGAAACAATCAACCTTTTAATGATTTCAATATTAGTTACCATATGCTTTCCATGTTGTATGATTTCATTTCATTGGTAAGTCTTGGTCCCTTGTACTCCATACTTCTCTCTTTGTTGGCTGTTCCTTTGTTCTGTCATACTTTCTTGCTGTGTGTTCTTCAGAGATGTCTACATCTGATTCCTGATGCTCCTGTCATTTATTATATGCCTTCATTGTCTAGTCTTCCTTGAAATTTGATACAGGCATGTGAAAATCTGATCCTGTCCCTCCTCTCTGATTCGTTTCAGTTTTTTTTAAATCAAAATGAAAATAAATAATTTGAGTAATTATTTTCTGGGTTTGTGTCTTCCCCCCCCCCCAGTTATTAATATTGTTACTCCCTATTTACTTACTGTTCCTGTTCACGCCTAACTTTCATTAATGAATCCTTAAAATTAAAGCAGAACTGCTCCTGGTCCAGTGGTGGGGTGGCCTCCAATTCGTTCATTTAGGAGGAACCTTGCAAGTAGTAGCTCTTCTAAGGTGCCTCCTCCTCATCAACATGAGTCTCAGAATCAGCATGTGGTTGAAGATAAGGTTGCTGGGAAAAAACCTGTGGCTGACAACAACGTTGTTGGTGGTAAAGGCCTGTTTGTGAAGATCAATATGGATGGAGTCCCCATAGGCAGAAAAGTGGACCTCAATGCTTACGATAGCTATGAAAAACTCTCCTTTGCTGTTGACGAACTCTTTAGAGGCCTCCTTGCTGGTTGGCTCTCCTCCTTCCTTTAATTTTTTTTAATATTCAATTATTGTGCCGACATAGTCAATTTAATCACTTTAGTCCATTCATTAATAGTTGATAAGTTGTTCAGTTTTGAATTGGACTGATTTGAAATTAGATTCCATTTCCATTTACTAAAAGATGAGTAAATTAAGCCACGCTTAAATGGATATACACGCAAGCATGTCATGCACACTTAACAAAAAAAAAGCAAGACTTGTTGTTTATCTGCAATATTAATTCAAACATTTCATGGTCCTGGTGCATATGTCAACCCAATCGTTGTAGTAGAGCAATAGAATGTAGATTGGCTTATAGTCGATCTTGTCTCACCAACCCTATTATTTAATACAAGAGTTTTCTAATCTATCCCATGTATTTCAAAGTTTTGCTGCAACATGATTCCAAATGTCTTGCCCTGTTGATTTAATTTTATTTAATTGCTTTTGTTGTGATGCCTGTGAAAGGTGATGCTGAGATCAGGTTATTATGTGTTTGTCTTGTTGTGACACTGTTCAGCTCAAAGAGATTCCTGTGGTGGTGTGATTCAGAACAAGCAAGAGGAAGGGAAAGCCATCACAGGTTTATTGGATGGAAGTGGAGAACACACTCTGGTTTATGAGGATAACGAAGGAGACAGGATGCTTGTTGGGGATGTGCCGTGGCAGTAAGCACTTTTATATATATATATATATATATATCACTGTTGATATCTGATCTGGTGGTACTTATATCTTATTATATTCAAATATTCATATGCCAAATCTGACATCTTGGTCTCAAAACTAGAACTTTCACTTTTAGTTTGATTCTTTGCTCTCCACCATTGAAATATTCTCCTTAAAACTGTTGAGCAATCTGTTCCCTGTGGTTGGTCTGGAAGCACAACCTGCCATATCATGTCTCTCTCCTTGAAATACTATTTGGTACCACTGTGTCCCCTTACAAAATTACTAGTTAACTGTTGGGTTTGGCTTTTCCTTTATCGATATTTGTATTGCTATTAAATTGTTTTCCCTTGTGTGTGTGTGATTTTTCGGCAGCATGTTCGTGTCAACAGTAAAGAGGCTGCGCGTATTGAAGAGTTCTGAGCTCTCTGCTTTTACTCGTGAGTACTTCTGAACTTTCACAATATTTTGAGAATTTCTTCATTGTTTATTATTATGTCTTCTGAAGCATCAAAAAGACTGAATCAAACATTGTTGTTATTTTCAGTTGGTAGCAAGCAAGGCAAAAATACCTCTTGAATGGGCACGGAAATGCAAGACATGGCTGTTTGAGGAGGTCACTGCTGGAACTTGAAGAGTGTTTTTTACCCTTTTGTCCCCCCTGGTGTTTGATGAAAGATCAGAGAATGAAATAGTTAGTATAGAATGGTAGCTTACATTTTAACATTAAGTAACGTGTATGAATCTCTGCTTGTTCATGAAGATTTGAAATGTTCTGTTAAGTAACCATTGACTTGTTTTGGTTTGTAACCTTGTTCGAGTTCCATATCTCTGTACATTCTGTGAATAGGGTGGTTAATTTTGCTGTTGGTTTTGACATGTTCATGATTGGATTTTTATCTGAACCACCTTTGAAAGTTTCAACTTGAACTACAGTTTCCAACACTCTGATTAGGCTATCAATGGGTGTGAAGGTGTTGAAAAATGGTATTTATCACCAACCTCCATTAACAAGTTGGGTTGATGTCGTAGTTGGGAGATAGAGGGCTTTTAACGAAGTAAAATTTCAAACTCTGAAGAGAACCCTGTCCAAAAGCTTCAAACCCTAAACCCTGATAATGAAATTGTCCCTTTATTAAATTGTGCAATTTGGTCCTGAAAAATTGATACGGGAATATAGAAAGCAGTTAACATGAAACCTTTAACATATTAATATTATATCTTCTAATTGTTGTTATGAACTGCTTCAGTTTCAACTTCGACCTCAATTCAACTTAACCTAACCGCAGGCCAAACTTTTGAAAAAAGAAAAAAGCTGAGCCAAGGAAAAATGTTAGGAGAATTGTGTTCTAGTGTCTTATAATCCGGTGACCGTGAATATGCAAACCTTTAGTGGCTGACGTCTATATATCTTCATAAACTATCTTAAGTTAGGACTCAATTTCCCTGAAGTTTACCCATACATTTGTCAAAAAGTTGCTCAGTCTAAGCCTGGGCTTAAAAAACCATAAGTCTCGGGATTGGAGAATCCAAAGTCATCAAATTAAAGGACCTTTTTTAACTCATGATCTGGTTTAGCATGGGCCACCAAGCATACGCTTTAAATATGATGGTAAAGTTCTCCAACGCTTCTCAAAACATCAAATTCCCTTATTGAGGGACAACTAATATAGCGTTTCATTTGTCATTAAATATATTTTCATAAAATCATAATTTTACTTAATTTTTAATCTCGCTTTTTAATTATGCTCAAAATCAATTGTCACGAAACATAATCAATTATTTTCAAAACTAGTCATACAAATCAATTTTATTCAATGTACAAGCTCAGTTTAAAAAACCCCAGTAAAAATACTTATACATTAGCACTTATGGGGTGTGTGTGAAGTTTCTATATTTCTAAAGCCCGTGTGAGATAGAAATGTGCCAATTGGGAGTGGGAGCGGGTTGTGAATGCTGAGGGAAAACAAAGTGAAGAGCAATTTTATTAATAATAAAACAGAATTTAGATATTTGGGATAAGTCCATTTTGGTTTGGATTTGATCCGAATTTCTTTGAGCTTAAGTAAAGAAAATTTGCTTGGCTTTAAAATTTTTTAGACTTATTCAAATTGTATCATTAAATTTGGCTTAAATTATCAACTCTAAACACTTATAGGATCTGTGTGAAGTTACTATATTTGTAAAGGCGATAAGAGATAGAAAATGACAATCATTAATAATAAGTGGGGTTCTGGCACAATGGGACAGCATAGCTACAGTGAGGAGTTGAAGTTTGGAGAGTAGAGAGGCTGAAATGTGTGTCTCCAAAAGCCACAACTCACGGGTGAGATAATACCAAAAAAGGCAAAAGTCAAATTAATACATGGAAATGATCATACATTTATATTTATGATCAATACAAGAAGGCCATTCAATACAAAGTTTAATTTGGAGGGGAACTGAGTGTTCCTTTTCATTGAGAGGTGCCTAACTTGGACGTCTTTGTGAATTGTATAATTCCAGGTGGGACCGTTTCAACTGATGAAGACCACAATTGGACAACACTTTAATTTTCTTTTACTTTGCGTCTTTGTGTCTTTCATTCACACCTTTCTCAAGATGAGGTGTTTCATTCGCCTGCTGAAAATCACGGCTTCATCTTTGTTCTTTGATAAACTTGTTCGTCGTCTTTCTTAAAATGTAAAGATGAAGTGTTTTCCAAGGAGTAATATTCACATAAACATTCAAAATCCATGCAATATTGGCCAATTTTATGTGATTATTAGGTTTTTGTTAAAATTGAACAATATTGCACTGGTTTTAAAAGATTATGTGCTTTTTACGTTTTTTTTTTTTGCAATGCCAATTACTACTCATGTGAGAATACTTTTCAACAAAAATGCACTTTAATCTAAATTCTTTAACAACTTAGTAGGACCATTTTTTTTTTCAAAATAAAAAGGCCACAAAAAACAAAGGAATAACAAAATTAAGTTATGTCAAATTTCAAAATGTCTCTAGCCTCTACATCTATAGTGGTTCATCAAAAATCATGGCATTAAGTTTCTCGTGTAAAGCTTAATGAGCTAGATACTTCACACTTTTCTTTCTTCTCTCTTTAAATATGTGATTGAAAGTGTTTGCCCTATCTTACATAAAAAGATCCTTAATCTTCACGATAATATTGGAAAGAGATTTTGAAAAAAACTCATTCTGTATAAATGTGTGAGCCACAAGAGTCAAGGTATATTCATTTTAGCCAAATTGCCATTTCAACATAAGGCAAGATCCTCAAGTATACCCAAAAATTTTATTATTATGCTAGAATAATATCCAAGATATTTGGAATAGCCCTATATCCAATTTCTATATTATTTACGATAAAATCTTCGTAAATAATAGTTTCATTAAAGTTGACCAAACTATTAATATCTAACACAATTTGTCTTGGGAAGGTATTATCTAACTTGTGAACCCACTTGACCCAAGATTAACGAGTTCATCTTTGATTCAAGATTAATGTTTGTTTGTTTTTTTTTTAAATTTTATTTTGGGTGTTAGTAAAAGCTATATATCTCTATCACGTTTGTCTTTCCCTAATAAAGGTGATAGCATCTTGCTCTCCAAATTTCACCAAAGTATTCTTTTGTTCAAACTTCCTGCATCATTTTCATATTATCAATTCTTGTAAGGAAAAAGAAAAGAATGTATTTTGTTTAGATCTCTTAACTAGTCTCATTCAGATTTCTCAGGCCTTGCTATTATAATCAGGCAAGATGTGGATATAGTGTGTTGGGAGTTGCAGCTTAAAGGGCAATTCCTTTGGCAAACATAGGAACCATCAATATTAATTGACAAATTTAATTTGGAAACCATCCTAAGAAGCCTTTCAAAGGAAGAAATTGATTTTTTCCCCCTATATGCGGGTCTTTTCCAATTTTTTTTTACTAGTATTATGTTCTTGGGTATGTTTGAGTTTCAATTGGGTATGACTAATTATGAAAAAAATTGATTATGTTATAAGGTATATAATTGATTTATAAAACTCATTAATAAACTTGATTTTAATCATAATTGAAAATCACAATTGGAAATAAAATAAAACAATGGTTTTGTGAAAATATATTCAAACATTCTTGTTACATGTTAAAATCAATTATGAATTTAAAATCATATTTTTAAAAAAATATTCAAACACTAATTATACATGTCAAAATTAATTATGAATCCAAAATTATTTTTTTTAAATGTCCAAACACCCCCCATACATGCCCCAATCAATTATGAACTCAAAACCTGGTTATCTCATAAGCTACTATTATTTGTTTTTCAATTCTTATTTTTCTAAAAATTTATCCAAAAATCATATAAATTATTTTACAAATTATATTTTTTGGTTCATAAGCTAATTTTGACACATATAAATGTGTCTGGATATTTAAAAAAATATCATAATTTGAGCTCATAATTGATTTTAGCATATATAATAAGTGTTTGGATATTTTTAAAAAAATATAGTTTTTAATTTATAATTGATTATAACATGTAACATAGTTGTTAAAATATATTTTTACAAAACTATAGTTTTGACCTCAAAAATTAATTCCAAATGTTATCCAAACAGGCAACTTGATTTTTATCACTTTGTTGGTGAATTTAATGGAAAAACAAAACAAAGCTACCGTCCAGCATAAAATAAAACATAATCGTCTCCATTGATTAGTAGGACCATTTTTGATACATCATGGCTTGGGTGGGATTTCAATTTTCAACCAGCCTATTACATTGCAGCTAATGGGCTTTCTTGGGCTTAAAAGTTTAAAACCCTAATGCGCTATGGATTTCATTGAAATCCCTTCCTGGAGGCTAATAATTAAGCCCAAAATTCAAAAGGAAGGAAAAGAATTTCAAACATAAGGCCTAATCAGAAGGGAATATTTTCAAATTCCGGACAAAGTTGCAAATGGAGATTAGGGATTGATTGCCTATATTTTCAATTTAAATTTAAAAAATGAGGGTAAAAATCTCATCGAATCCCATTCTGGACGCTAATTAACTCCGAAGCTGAAATTTTCCAAGGCGTATAAATCAGGAGGGGTATGACGGATGTTAAAAATGGAATGAATTACCCTTGAAGGCCCAGAAAAAAGATGGTGATTAAGGCCTCGTGATTTGATTGCCGGAGATAATAATACAAGGATTTGATGAAACAACAGAAGAGAAGAAATAATCTCAAGGCAAGGACAAACTCAGCTATGATCAAGGCTTTAATAGCCCCTCAATTTGCTGCTATCAAACCACTCTGCATTGAAGATAATTTTAAGATCATGAATCAGCAAAGACCTGATCTCTCTCTATAAAAGGAGGCGTACGTGAGCGTGATATTCAAAAGGAGCTAAGCATCAAAGAAGAGAGAGAAAAATGGTGAAGAAGGAGATAATGGTGGTGGTGGTGGTGGTGATACTGATAGTGGGAGAACAAGTAGCTCAGGCACAGTATGGGCCTCCTGCAGAACCAGGTCGTCCTCGGAAACGTCGCTGTGCTTCCAGATGTGCTCTTGGATGCTTGTTCAGACTAAGACTCCAACCAGTTAGCTATATGCTTTGCTTCAACCTCTGCATGATCAAGTGCAAGTTCTTGCCCCCCACCTCTCTCTACACTTGCACTTCTTCTTGTGCCCACTCCAAGATTAAATATGACAACACTGGTATATATATCTTTGTGTGTTTCCATTTTATTTGATTTTAATTATTCTAATTATGTTTTATTGATGATGATCATGATGATGTTGCAGAAGCACGAGATGTGGAAGGCTACGTGGATTCATGCTACAACAGTTGCAAGAACAAACATTAATAGTTCTCTTTGATGATCTTGCCTACGATGGGATTAATATA